AGATTCGAAAGAAAGACTTTAGCAAAAATAGAAATAATATATTTTATAATATATTGTCTATTTTAAATCGACTATAATCAAAACACGTGATTAAAACCTACCGACTTTATTGGACAATTACAAAGATAATACTTAAAGAAATTTCTAAAGAAACAGAAAGTTCAATTCAATTCCAAGATATAGCAAGAAGGATTACTATAACAGTAACCAACTTGGCAAATATTATGGAAAACTTCTACCATTATTCTTGAAAAACTAGAATTTTTGAAGAAAATTCTTAAAGGTGATAGAAAACACAAGCCAATTTTTTTTTATTATATATCGCACACTATATTATCTATTTTAGAGTAACTGTAATTAACACATGACTATTAATGTTCAAAAGGAATAGCTAAAAATTTTTAGTATCATTTGAACTATAGATTAACGGTCATGATGGAGAGCTGTCATTATACAGACCCAGGTTCGAGACTGGCTAAGGGAGCTGCTTGCTAGATACCAAGTTCAGTGTAGCTCTTAGTTAAAGTATTCGAATGATTGATTTTTTTATTTATTTTATTTTATTATTATTATTATCATTTTTTATTATTATTATTATTATCATTATTATTTTTTTTTTTTAGTTTTAGTTTATATATTTATTTTTATTTGAAAAAAAGAGAGTAGTAACATAATATATATATGTACAAAAGAAAAATTTTACAAATCAAATTCTACATCTAAATCTATTGCAACACTATCTATACGACTCTCTAACTCAGCAACCTGAACCCACAACTGATTTTTTTCTTGAACAACTCTCCAATGCTCCTTATCTCTTCTCCAACCCTCTTCTACCAACTCTGCATCCCAAAAATGAATTTCTTCTAACTCCGCTTCCAACACTATGATTCTTCTCCTTAAGGATCTTACTTTTCACCACAATTTGATATGGATTACAAAATTAATCTTTTACTGGAAACTATTACAAGAATCAGTAAATATTTATCTTCTATTCTGATCCTGCACTCCAGCCAGAGCCTCATAAAGAGCTTCATTACTATTATGTCGAGAACGTCGGACAGCACATGAAATACAAGTACGAGGCATTTTTAATGATTATTATTATTGTTATTATTGCTATTGTTGTTGTTGTTGTTGATGTTATTGTGGTTGATATTGTTGATATTATTGATATTAACAAAAAGAGAAAAAGAAAAATTCTT